TCTTCAAAGGGAAAGAAATGGCTGTTTTCTTCGCAAGAACACAATAAATCTGTTCATAAATCCGGCGATTACTTGGGATGAGATTTTAAAGAATTTTTTAACATCAAAAAATCTTATTGGCGGCACGTATAAGGGCTGTTAGATGCAAGGAAAAAATCCACGGGAGAGAAGACAAAATCCCAGGGCCTTTCTGCGGTTCCCACGCCAAACTCGCCCAGGTGGCCACATGCCAGCACACCGAGCCCAGGCGTCGCCCAGGGGCCTCCAGTGACATCTGGCCCAGCCCGGCCGGGAGGCGAGTGGAGCTGGGTGGGGCACGGGCTGCGAATTCACCTGCAGGTTCATGTCCCTTCTGAGAAACCGCCAGCGGAAACCAGGCCCAAACCCTGTCTGGTTGCACAGCTCTGTCTTGCTTCAGGGGGCTCCTTCAGGAGCGCCCCCCTGTGGAAGGGTAGGCAGCAGAGGTAGCTGCGGGAAGGCGGGAGGCGGTCTTTCTCCTTGATGCTGCCGTCAGTAATCGCTTGGGCAATGTCTTTATAAAAGTAATACACGCCGGCCCTCCCTGGGGGCGCAGCGGGTTACAGCACAGCACTGAGAAGCTGAAGCCCCGCCCGCCCCCGAGCTGACCCGCAGGGCGCGGCAGACCTCTCCTGACCGCCCGCTGCTCCCCTCAGCAGTGGACTTCGTCCGTCTGCCTGCTCTGCTCCCCACTCTGTCTCTGGTGAAGCCTCTCGCCGCCCCTGAGCCTCTGGCCTGTACCCCAGTTCTGTATGCACAAGTAAATACATCTCCAAAAACAGTAACAGGCTGGAGAAGATGGTAAGGCGTCTCACGCCCCGTCACAACCGGGGCCCCCTGCACAGGCCGCGTGCAGCTGGCCCCTCTGTCTTCTTGGCCTCCCCCTGCCCCGGCCCCTTCTCCTGCTTCCTGGCGCTCGGGCGCCCTTGTCGTCCAGGCGAGTGAGCCCCCAGACGGTAACCTCGCGTGGGTCTCGTTTCGTGCTCTTGCTGATGACGGGTAAACGGGGTCCTGGTGTGCACCCCGACGCGCCACGTGGCACCCGGGGCTGTGCCCTCCAGCAGCCCTTTCACCCAAGTGCCGGCCCACACCTTGGGCCCGGCCGGCTCCCACGTGCCCTTTACCCATCGTAGCCGCCCGGCACCCGCCGCGTCTGGGCGGAGGCGTGGCCCCCGGGCCGCCTGCTGGCACAGCCCAGAGCCGCACAGGGAGGGCGAAGGCGCACGGCCGCCGGGCCCCTGTACCCGCGCTGGGCGGGCAGGCCGCCGGCTCGCCCGAAGCGCAGCTGCGGGGCGTGGGGGCAGCAGGGCCGCAGGGCCCTCTCCCGCTGACCCTGTCTGTGCCTTCACCTCCCCGCATGGCCCCGGCTGCCTATCCAGTGGCGCCCAGCCAGGCTGCGGCTGCTCGCCTCGGCATAAATACGTCAGCGCCTGTTGAGGTGAATTCCTGGTGTGGAGCTGCTGGGTCAAAGGTCTAAGCGGGTCTCACCTGCTCAGCATTCACCGTCAAGCCATGGGCAGTCCTGGTCTCTGAGCTAAACGGGCACTGGAGAGTCGGGGCGGCCTTTGCCAGCCGCACGAGCCCCTCGTTTGAATACGCGTTTATTTAAGCAGGAAACAACTGGACTGTCTCCCCGTGTGCCATGAACCCTCGCGCGCCTGTGTACACTGCAGAGGATGGCATTTTAAACGGCTGCCAGCCAGTTTCACAGCCAAAGCCTCTGCCGTAGCGTCAGGCACGGCTGCTCAGGGGCAGACACAGGCTCTGGGCGCCGGCCGCCCGCTGCAGCCGGCCCGGCGGCTTCTCTGCTCTTGCACGTCAGCACCTTCAGCTCAAAGCACACTCCGGGCCTCCCTGGGGGCTAAAACAGGGGCTGCCTCAGCGCCGAGAAGCTGTCGCCGCCACCGCAGCACGAGTTCGAGCCCCGGCCAGGGAGGGACCCCCAGGGCGCAGCAGACCGCTCCTGTCTCCCCGCTGCTCCCCTCAGCAGTGGATCTTAGTGGTTCCGCCTGTTCTGCCCCCACTGTCTCTGGGGAGTCCTCTACCCCCACTTCTGGCCTGCGTCCCAACTCTGTGTGCATGAATAAATAAAATACTTACTAAAAACATGCGATTCCTCGCCCGGCCAGAGGCTGAGGCACGGCACAGCTCACCCTACACCCCTCAACCAGGGTGTGGGCAGGCGGTGGACACTGTTGCTGCCCTGCCCTGGAGCGCTCGCCCTCCCGGGGCCAGCAGGGGCCTCTACGCAGCAGCGTGCTGGGAGGGGACGGTCAGTGCAGCGCGGCACAGAAACCGGTGGCCAGAGGGGCTCTCCATGACCCAGAGGTCTGCACGCGGCCCCGACCCGAACTGAAACAGAGAGGCCCTGGGGCCGGCCGGAGGCCTCCTCAGGGGAAGGGGCTGAGGAGAGCGAGACCGAGGGGCCCACGGCAGGAGCACAGACGGCGGGCAGGGCCGGCTCAGCGTTCTGCAGCCTCAGGCCACCCGCCCGCCCCGAGCGTGCCGACGCTCACAAGATGGCTACCAGACACTCGTCAAAAACGCAGAAGACCGTCGCCATCATAAGCATGTCACCATCTCTGACAACATGTCCTCGGGCCAACCCCAGCTGCCCCCACCCCGGGTCCGTCCCGAGCGTCGACACCTCCCTCCCCGTCACTCCGCTCACCTGGCCAAGCGCGTCCAGGTCATCGGTCCCCTCCCTGGCCCAGCCCGGGGTCCGCTCTTCCTGGCAGCACCCTCAGGAGCAGGAGAAGAGCCTGGGCCCCCGGGAGGTCTCACCACTGAGCCCGCACCAGCGCCGCCCACCCCCACTGCACTGCCAACACGCTTCCCGGCACTCCTGCAACCAGAGCCCGCTTGATACGTTTAATTCGCAGACTTCCTTTATGACTGCTGGGTTTCCTTCTCTGGACCACGAGAGAAACATAACCCGCCCTGTCGTTCTGGGCGTGGGCTGCTGCGATGCGCTGGGAATTCTGTGTTGGCTGCCACCGGTCTGCAAGGACAATTGTTAGCTGCCCAACTGTAGGAATTCTGCTTTCAGACTGTCTTAGGGATGCATGCTGTAGAAAGGGAGGTTCCCCTCCCGCCCAAACACTTGCTGTCATGGTGTCTTCAGTGACATCCCGAGCACGTAAGTTTGAAGTCCAAAACTACATGGAACGTTCTAGAAATTGAGACAAGTACATGGAATTAACCTCTCGAACAGGATTTCGTGTGGCTATGATGCTCCAATCTCCATGTCGTTGCTCTTTCTAGAGACGCCCACCCTCACCTGCCCACAGAGGCCCAGGCTCTTAGCTTGGATTTTGGTGGCAAAGCTGAAGTTTCAGCAGCTCCTGTTCTGCTCTGCCGCCCCCCCCTTTCTTTTATAAAGAGGATTGGCTTTCAGAGGCTCTGCAGACAAATAAATTATTCATGGACAAAGAGATAAAAGAGAAGGTTTCAGGACTAAAATATTTAGGCCTGGGGTTCTGTTCTGTGAGGTTGCTCACATAGACCGGGGCCCCCGGGGAGCCGAAAGCAACTGAAATGAAGAAGTAAGAACTGGGCCAAACTCTTGCTATTTTGCTGAGGGCGCGGAGAGGCTACGCCAGCCACAGCGTATGAAGCGAGGCTGAGCCCTTCCCGGAGCGGGCAGGTACGGCCGCTCAGCGGGGCAGGATTTAAAGCTGCGGAGAGTAAAGCCACCCGAGAAGAGACTGTTTCCACGGATCTGGGATGCAATGACCAAGCCCCGCCGGGAAGGCGCCCGTTGGAAGCGTCTTCGAGGGGACCCCACTCTGGGTGGCGTGAATGCCGTCCCCCCACCCCCTAAGACTCACCCCTCCCGTGGCATTTAGCCACCCGAGTCTGGATGCCTGCCCGCCCGCCACCCCCGGGGCCGCGGGGGAAGCCCAGGCAAAGGGCAGCTCGCTCCGTCCTTGGGCTGGCGAAGCAGCACCCCGTTCTCAGAGGCGTGGTGATGGGGGTTCTCCAAATGTCGGTCTGAAACATAATTTATTTAGTGCTGTGTTTCTCTATGAGGAAACAGAGTCATCTTGAAGAATTAGAATAATATTCTTCACTGTTGGATCTAGGAATGATGTCATGCTAGGTCGTAACTTTTTATTATAGATCGCAGTATTTGGTTTCTGGAAACTTGTGAGGTTGAAGGGAACCAGCCACTTCCTTCAGAATGATCTGATTACACGTTAAGGATTTTGTAATAGGAATAGAAAATGCCGTCCCTTTCATTGTAAGTAAGCCATAGACACTGCTTGTTTCCCTTGCTAGGATAATCGCCAAATGCAGAGAATAGAATTTAGAGTGTCGTTCAGTCATTAACCGGCGGAGGCACAAAATGTGTATTGAGTGGCATAGTATTCAGCCACAAAAAGGAGCGACATTCCAACATGTGCTACAATATGGAAGACGTCTGAGTCAGGTAAGTGCAGACACAACGGCCCCACCCGTGACCCCGCAGGGCAATCCACAGACAGGGCCTCGGGCTTGCCCGGCAGGGACTGAGGAGAGTGGGGGCCAGCTTTGGACTTTCTTTGGGGATGACCCAACTACTCCCAAAGCAGCTTGATGTCAGTGTTCTAAAACCCGCAGAGCTGTCCACTCTGACGTGGCGAGTTTTGATATCGGGACTCAGCCACCCCTTCCGCGGGCGGGCGTCTGCCCTCCGGAAACGGGCTCTGGGCGCGCAATGTGACGCACCTACGATAAGGGACAGGCGCAGGCCAACCCGCACGTGCGATGTTAGCCGGCCGTAAGCAGAGAGACACTGGTCGTCTCCAGCTAAATGGACAGAGCGGAGGGAATCACGCAGCGAAGCAAGTCACGGTGACAAAGTCCACGCTGGATGTCCCCACGGCGGACAGTCCGGCAAGACAAGACCCTTGAAAGCCCAGCGGATGCTCGCGGAGGTTTCTGAGGTTAAGAGGGCTGGCGGAGCCATTTTTCTAAAAGCAGAGTTGCGTCAGCCTAACTGTAAAAAATGAAGTGATGAGCTGTCCACGGGACGAGTCAGCCCTCCACCGGGAAAGGCACAGCGCGGGGGTGAAACTGCCTCAGAGAGAGTCAGTCCGTGGGCGGGCTCCCCACCTACCACCCGCAGCCTCTGGCTTCGATCCCGGCGAGTGTCGGCCAAAGTCCCCGCTGGGGTGTGCAGGACCCAGGACCCTGCTGGGAAGTGGCTCCTGCCTCCCCCGCTGGCCTGGGACCCCGCGGAAAGAGCTGGAGGAGCAGAACCTGAGAGACACTGGGTCCAGGACCCCCGCTCACGCTGGGGGTGGCCTGGGGCAAGCTGAGGGACTGTGCGGACAGGCAGAGCACCGCCCCCAGCTCGCGGAAGGATCAGACGCACAGGGCTGCTGGGAGCGGAGACCAGCCCAGACACCGCCAGTCGCCTCCACAGGCCCGGTGGGCACCCTCGACAGTGCCCCGGCGGCCCGGGCCTTTCATAAAACCCGGGCCTCTCCGGGGCGAAGAGCGGCTGCTGAGGCTTCCTTCAGAACGGAGCCTCCCCCGCCCCAACCAATAATCATCTCCTGACACACGCGTCTGCAACTGCCAGCTGCTTTCTGTCCCCGTGACGCGGGCGGCCGGCTCGCTTCAATTCAGCTTGCAAAGCTCTGTTTCTAAAAAGTTGCATGCAAATCACATTTTTTACAATTCTGATAATATTTTCCCATTGTTCCACATTCTATGCTCAGGGGTGATTTATCTTCATTTGTGATTCATTTTCAATGGGCGGCAGCTCCTAACACTTCAGTGTGAAGCTTCTTTTCTCCCCAGGCTCTGTCAAGTTGTAAAAACAGACTTTAAAACACCCTTGACATTTCAAGGGACCCCTGCGCTCACCCAGTTTATAAAATCTGACTTTTACCGGGAAGGCTGTTCTGTAGGCGGGAGAGGTCTCTGTTTCTGGGTCAGCAGCGAACACTGAACAGGCTTGCTTATTTTTCCCTGCCATCCCCCAGAGACTTTCAGAATCAAGGCAAAATGATGCAAAACGAAGCCCAATGTAAGCAGTTCTGACAGGGCGTGGGTGGGAGGTGAGGTGCTTCCTCCCAGGCTGTGCGAACACAGCAGTTTGCCAGGGCTGGGCTCCTCCTTGCTGTCCACAGCGCGTCCCCTGCGCGCCCTCTGCACCCCGCTTTCAGGGAGACGGATTCTGCGTGCCTTGAGCTGGAACGGGGCGGGACGGGCAGTCGCTGGGTGTTCCACGTCAGGAACGAGCAAGGCCGGGCGAGGGCCCGATGTCTGCTTCGGGCAGAAGGAGCCGGAGTCCAGCTTCCAGCCCTGGGCTCACGCTCGGGGCGGGCAGCGCTGCTGGTGCCTTCTCGCCTCGTCTCGACACCCCCGCGGACGGCGATGTGACGCCTGTCGCCTCGGCAGGCGCGGCCCTCCGCCGGGAAGGGGGCGGCCAGGCAGGGCTGCGGCGCCGAGGGCTTGGCGAGGGCCCACTGCCCCCGAGGGGTGGCCGGCGGGACCCTCTTGCCCTGGACACCTGCCTGCTGTCTGCAGCTGGCCGGCTGCGTGAGGTCCGGGCAGGGCGGCCTGGCCCTGGTGGGCGCACTGCCCTCTGCAGAGCCGCCGCGTGCTGCAGAACCGTCCCAGGGGTTCAGGTGACCCACTGCGTCCTCCTCAGAGGCCTGCCCGATTCTGAGCTGTTCACGCAGCATCAAAGTCAAACCGATGGTGCGGAAACACGGTGAGCGAGAAGCTGTAACCAGCAGGCCCGCTGTTGGCTTCTCCTGCAGCCTCCTCACCGCCTGCATGTGTGAGTCTGAATGTTCAGGCAAAGCTGAGCATTCGTGGGATACAATTTTTAGTGGCAGGGTACATTCGTTTTTATGGATTTTATCTTTCACAGGGGTATGAAAGTGACCTTCTTACAGACACCTGATACTTGCCTGGGTAAAAACGAAAAGACCAAATACACCCTGCTTCTGAGAGACGCATCCAGCCATTTTAGAGGAGCCGCCACAGAGGACGAGCTTCTAATCTGTGTCGTGCTGGAGTCAGACCACAGCTGCTAACCAGAGCCGGGAGGCCTGGCGTGGTGCAGGCATTTGTGTTGGGGAGATGAAGGCTCAAGCTCAGGGACTGTCCGACATGAGTAAGCACTTTTGATTTCCAGACTAAATGACTTGACAAAAGATTTGTAGCTCTGTTAAAGTCTGGCAAAGGGCACCGTACCAGCTGGCTCAGACTGGGGCAGGAGGTTTCTGTGGCTGAAATCCTAGTCATTTCCAGACTGCTACTCATGTTCTGGCAACTGTGTGATTGCAGGACGAGGGCGCAGCCCCCGGGCCGTGGCCCCGACGGTCTTGGTCCGTGGATGAGCGTAACGTGGCCGGACAACGCACCGGGCACTCGCCGCACCGCTACGTGCAGACCGCAGGCCAGCGCCGGCGTGGCCCAGCCCGTGCGGCATGGCCTCTGCGTCCACCCAGCTCACACGCGATTCTGGGAGATGCGGCCAAGGGCGGCGGGCAGCGGCCAGCAGGCCCCGCTGATCTGAAGAGAGACTGGGCGAGACTGGGCACCGCAGAGGAGGGACGAGGGCAGGCGGAGGGGAGGGCGCAGGGCTCCGGGGGGCCGGGAGGGAGCCGGCATAGGGGTCACGCGGGGGGCGGGGGGGGACGGGGCTCTCTGGAACTCAGGCGGACTGTGTGGCGGGGTCGCGTCAGATGCGGTGACACGTCTGGACGGGGTGCGGCCCCGCCCCTTCCGCGGGAAAACGCACGAAGTCGAAGCAGCCGGCGTTTACTGTCAGCAAGGTGCAGGCCTGGGCAGGGGATTCAGCGCCAAGACGCGCGTCTGATCACGCAGCGTGCTCCGCAGAGGCCGCCCTGTGCCACGGCTTGTGCGAATGCACGCGTGGTGAGAGCCACGGGCAGCAGGGGAGGAGGGATTCTCCCGAGCTGGGGCGCGCTGGCCGCGGAGGACCCCGGAAGAGCGGGGGGAGCTGACGGCGAAGCGTGCGTGAGCCGGTGAGCGGCTTCTCCCGGAGGGGAGCCACGTGGGCAAGGTCGGACACCTGGGGCCCGGTGGGCCTGGAATGGGGGTGCTCACGTGTCGGCGGGACCGAGGGGGAAGCCCTGACGGCAACGGGAGGGCGCTCGTGACGCGGAGACCGTTGGGGCTACCCCGGGTGCCGGGCCCCAGCTCCTGGCACAGGGGCTCAGCGGGCGCGGAGACACCTGCCGTCACCCGCGCCGCGGAGAGAGCGCTCCACGCCGGGGCTGGCGAACACCACGGCGAGACTCTTGCCCCAGTCCAGCGGGGGCATTCTTAGAAGATGCACTGGTCAGAAGTTTCTGGAAGGTCATCTAGGAGTCTGCTGAGGCCACCCTGTGTGACCCTGGCCCTGGAGTGGGCAGGGAAGAGGAAGGACACCCCGAGAAGAAGGGACACGGTGGGAGTTAAAGCCCCGATGTGGGGAGCCGGGGAGGCCGGGACCCGTAGCCAGAGAAGCTGGCTTGGGGGTGTAAGAGGCCCCCCACAGCGACGGGTCATAGGTCAGGCTGGAAGCACGCATCGTGGTCTGCGGCGATGGAGCCGCGTCCCAGACAGCCTCAGAGTTAGGCACCGGGACCAAGGAGTGGGGGTGCTGGCACCCGATTCCTCCTGGGTAGTTCAGGGAGAAATCAGAGGGGAAGGGAGTTGGTGGAGCCCCAGGCTGGGGCCGTGGGGATGCCAGCGGGCCCGGGGAGGCGGCAGTGGGGCCAGAAGGCAGGAGGACTTGGGCTTGACCACGGCAGGGAAGTGGCCCTCCTTGGGGTCCACGAGAGCCAAGGGTGAGTGGGGGGAGGCGGGGTGATGGGGAGCAGAGTCTGCTACAACACGGAGAAAACTCTGGGGTCGACTGGCGGGTGGGCCCATGGGGGCCGGAGGTCAGGAACGAGCCGTCGCAGAGGGTGGGCGGGAAGGAGCCAGGGTCTGGCGCGGCCGGGGAGGCGGCGGGAGAACAGTGAGCCCGAGCCTGGCACCGGAGAAGGCCAGCTGGACGGGCCGGCGACAGAGGACTGCGCCACAATGGTCCCCTTTCTCGGACGCTGGGGAGCGCGGAAGAGGCTGCGGGCGAGCCGGGAGCCCACCGGTTTGGAGGCTGCCGGGGAGCACCAGGGTGCCACGCCGTGTCTCTGAGAAGACGCGGGCGGCTCAGGGCGCCCAGCTCTCCGCAGGCACAGGTCAGCTCTTCCCACCGCAAAGGAGAATCACCCCCCGCCGTTTCAATGGTCCCGGTGCCCGCTGCGGAAATGCTCTCTCTCGGGAAAGGAGCCCGTCAGCCTGTCAAGGCTCGGACAGTGGCCCCGAGGAAACCGCCTTTGTGTCCAGCCTCAAACCTCCCCTCACAAGTCCACCTTGCTGGACACGGAGCCTGGACGGAGGGGTAAGGAGAAGCAAGTGCCGCTCTCTGGCCTCTCCGGAGCTTTAAAACGACAACCCGCGGCGGCCGCCGACGCCAAGGGCCTTCCCCTCGCGCGGGCTCCTCAAAGCCTAGTCCCGGGGTGTGCAACAGGCCCCCCAAAAACCCCGCGGCCCACCCGCTTGGGGGCCCCTCGGCCTCGTAGCTGGCCGTGCAGGGGTGAGGCCGCAGGGGAGCCGCCGAGGAGCAGGAAGGCCGCGCCCTGGCCGTGGTGAGCGGGGCGGCAATTCACCCCAGCGAGGATCCTTCAAAGGAGACTGGTCAGCCCTGACCTGGGCTTGATCGCTGCTACCGGGACTTCGCTCAAACGTCCATCAGGATTCTCGCATCTTTTAGCAGCATTTTCCCTGTGAATTCTGGAGGGCAGAAAATTACAATAATGTCCCGAGTAGGGACAAAAGTCTCCTCTTGGGACCCTGAAGTCGTCATCAGCTTCTCTGTCGCTATCTGAGTCTTCGCCACAGTCACTGGAGTCATGCGGTTGTGAAGAAACAATACGGCGAGTCCCCTTTCCGGTGGCCATCCCGGCCCCTGGCAGGTCTGTGTCCAGCGGCAGCCAGACCGAGCCAG